GGGGCAAAATTGCTCGTAAGTTCTTTTGGCCGTCTATGGGGGAGGACATTTATCGCTTTGTTCGTTTCTGTGACGCTTGTCAAAGAAAGCGGAGCCATCCGGCCAACCGCGAACAGCTGATGCCTATTCATGCTAAGGCTATTTTTCACAAAGTTACTTGGATCTCAGTGGACCATACCACACTTCTTCCTCTTCTAATAAGTACATTATGTGCCTCATCGATCATTTTTCTAATTACGTTATTGCCTCTCCGCTTCCTAATTGTTATGCTCCATCACAGCACAGTCCCTCATGAACGAGTGCATTCTCATGTTTAGGGCAATGTTAGTGTCCAACAACGCGTTGTACCTAGGGGCAAGCTACTCTGCATAACAGATATTTCTGCACCCCATATCACCACGAGGGCAATGGGGTTTGCGAGCGAGTCTTTGCCACTTTCCAGACTATGCTGCGAACTGTATTATTAGCAACAGGCTTGATTGGGACACCTTTTTGCCGGCGTGCACCTTTTCGTACAATACCACCATCCACTCAAGTACAAATAAAACACCGTTTTCCCCTTGTTCGGTCGCGATCGGTATTCAACATTGGTTCATGTTCCGCTATCAAGCTTTCGGCACATCTCCACCGACGCCGACTATAAGGAGTCTATAATATATCATGTAATCTACAAAAAGTCTATAGCCTATCTAAATCTGTAAGGAGTCCGTGGTCTCCCCGCTGCACTCCGTTCGGGCCTCTGCCGCCACTTTCAATGCCGAGCAGAGTGCACTTTTCAAAAAGCAGTATGACAAGACGGGTTTGCAACCACCTCAAACTTCGGTCGGGGACCGCGTCTACCTATAGGACTTTGTGCCAAGAGTAGTCCTTTCTCCTAAATTCTGCTTCTCCTAGTTGGGAAAATTTCATGTCATTTCTGTTAACCATCCTCACCTCACTATTACCAGCGTGACCTTCCTGCAAACCCCACCCAAAAGCGTTTGCATGAACCAAGTCCAAAAGTGCTTCACCATATCGGGATCCATGTATATTTCTCCATGGATCCTTGTCGAGAAAGACGATGCACTTTCCCGACACGGGGCTGTCTCAACACACGTCACTGTTTACGACCACCGAGTCACCCCTCCATCTGCAGCTTCTCCGTCTACCCCAGTATCACCCATACCATAGTCGTTTCCGCAAGAAAACCACTCCCATTCAGTCATACTCTGTTTTTTTTTCTATGTTTCATATTTTCGCCTATTTCATACTTTTGCACTATTCCTCTTTTCCTAGAATTACCGCTACAAGAGTTACAAGTTCCTCCTTCAGTGCCTCATTTTTTTTATTTTTCTTGGTACCTTCGTACTGAGTTCTCTCTAGCGTGATCGCTATAAACGTGAACATGTCGCTATACAGTTGGGCCGAAACCGCCTCTTTCTCACAATGTTCCTTCAGGTAATTAGGTATTGTCATGGATTTTTCTGTTGAACAGTGTTCGCTATTAGAACCACCCGTCTCTGCACAGGGAAACGACCAAAGTAGAAGTCAGACTCGACAGGTACTTGGGCCATAATTCCTTTGCATGCCGCTATCCCACAACGTATTCTTTCAGGGCCTCCTTTGGCAGCTGAGGAAGCCGTGTACCAGGGCGCGGGGATTCCACGACCTTCTCCGTGCATGGAGAGGATCCCACAATCTCCTCTTTCCTTTTTGAAATATTGAGGACCTTCGACGAAGATGAGCCTATGGATTTAGATTATATTCCAGCTCAAAATCTGGCTGATCTCCTGATTTCCGCAGATCCCGCTTCCACTGTGGTGTCCGCGTCTTTTATGGAAGCTTCTGCTAGAATACCTAAATCGCAGTATAGAGAACCGAAATCTGAGCCCTCGGTCGACACAGCCCTGCATCTGCCTAGTTCCTCACCAGGTGCATCCGGAGCTGCTGCTCTTAATCTATTGGGGCTGTTGCCCTTCAGCAAAACCCTTCTGAAGTCGATGCTCCCGCTTCTTCTGGCAATAAATCGTCAACGTCCAAATTCAAATCTAGGGGTTTCTCTAACTTCTCCTACGCTAGTGTTGTAGCTCGCCAGCAAGCGGCTGCCAGTGTAGAGCCAACAGAAGCGGACCCACCCGCTCCCGTGCCAACCGTAAAAGGCCGGCTAATCATATTACAGTGGCTTCTCGTGGTGAAGTGCCCGACATCACTGCGGAGGGCCACTCCCACCACATTGTCGGAAGTCACCCATGGGCACAATTCGTTTCTCTTCGGAACGAGCCGTTCCTATCCAATGCAGGATTTCATTACGGCCGCTATTCCACGCGAGCTGTATGGTCGCATTCCTCCAGGTGGATACCTTTCTCCCAAGTACGTGAGAAGGCTTCTCCTGCTGAAGTCTAGGAGCGGCCAAGCCGCCATCAGCACTTGTGCATTATTGAGCTGATGCTTCTCGAACATGCTATTGCGTTCCGTCGCTAGGCGGGTCATCGATGACCTTTTCGGAAGTCGGTATGTCGTCACCGAGAATTCGCGGCCAGTTTCTCCCGGGGGAGCAATGCCCTCCAGTCTATCCGAAGACGCGGGACCTCTTTCCCGTCCTGTACCAGAACGTCAATAAAAGAGTTGGTCAGGGTGCCGTTCCTGAGGCGAAGGATTTCTTCATTCCTGGACCGGGCCAGCAGCTTCACTAACTACGATGCTAATCCGCGGGCTTCTCAATACCGCATGTCGCACGTAGTCAACGCCGCCTGTTGAGCCCCAGCTGCCGGTTAACGAGCCGCGATTATCCTGGACGCCGTTTACGGATCCCGCCGTGTGCGCGTCCGGCCTGTTGGCCCTCAACTTGGGAATGCCACTGCCTCAGTGGGTGGTCGAACCTTTTCCAGTGCTGATTCTCGCTATACAGGCCGCTTTCGGCACCGGGAAAACCGTAGTCGGAGCGCTTATCGCTGCCCGCACCTACGCCTCTTCCCAGAATGGTGGAATCACCACCACTACGACTAACATCGCTGTGGCCCAATTTACTGTTACCCGGCTGTGGCTCGACGACTACAAGAATTAGGCGATCTTGCGTCAGATACAGCCTTGATCGACGGCGCCCCCGTATTCAGCGCCTTCCGGAGCGAGCGTCGAATGTTCGATTGTGATCTAGCCATCGACATGTCGAACGCAGAACGCGATGAGTACCGGCTGGCGGAACGCGACATCTCTCAATTGACGCACGACGCGATCGACATCGTGTTCCGCGTTCGCCCACCAGCCGTCCTCTGCATCGCAACATCGGCGCTGTCGGTTGCGGCGGGCGGTATTTTTCGTGGCAAGCGCGACGGCTTCGCTACTATCATTGGAGACGAAGTTTCCGAAATCCCGGAACCAGCACTGGTATTTCTTGCCACCCATCTGTCACAGACGCGCCACATCCACATCGGCGACGTTCACCAGTTGGAACCCCATGCCAGGTGTCCCACCTCCAACCCTGCCCGTTTTGGTGCACATGGCATCATGGATATTCTGGTCGCCAAGGGCGTTTCCGATAGCCCCCTCACCACCATTTTCCGGGCTCATCCGCTGCTGAATGATCTGCCCAACCGGCTGTTCTACGACCATGCTCATCAATACTCGTGCAGAAGACCGCCAGATGTTCCTATCGGCCGTACGCTGTCCGAACTCCAAACTCCCGTTTCTCTTCGTCGGCGTACCCGGTACATCCGCGAAGTCTCTCAGTGGACCGTACAGCAGTGAGGCCAAAGCTGAGATTTGCCGTCAAACCGTGCTGACGTTAACGTGGAAGAAAATCCCACCCTCGTTTCTGACCATCATAACGTTCTACAAGGAAAAGCTGCGCGTACTCGCACAATTCGTCAAAAAACTTCAACGTCGGTTTGCATACAGTCGATTCCGTTCTATGCCGCGAAAGGGCATCATCATCCTCCTTATTACGCGGACTGGCTTCTATGCTGACTGAGGGGAATTCTTAAATTCTTTCTCACCGCCCTTCTCACCAGGTGTAGGCACGTTTAGTTTGTTCTAGGGCACGAGCACCCAACCTTCCCACCACTAAAAAAGTGACCCCTAACCTTCCCACCACCAGAAAAAGTGACCCTAACTTTCCCACCGCTAAGAAATGACTCCTAACCTTCCCAACGCTAAAATAGCGATTCCGTACCTTCCCACCACCAAAAAAAGTGAACCCAAACCTTCCCACCACCAGAAAAAATGACCCCTAACCTTCCCACCACCAAAAAAGTGACTCCTAACTTTCCCACCGCTAAGAAATGACTCCTAACCTTCCCAACGCTAAATAGCGATTCCGTACCTTCCCACCACCAAAAAAAGTGAACCCAAACCTTCCCACCACCAGAAAAAGTGACCCCTAACTTTCCCACCGCTAAGAAATGACTCCTAACCTTCCCAACGCTAAGAAATGACTCCTAACCTTCCCAACGCTAAATAGCGTATAATGTATGCTATAATGTCTACTCTCTGGGAAAAACGCTCATCGCTCTTCCTTGTCTAGGCCTGCCAATGAGCGTTCTTACTTTCGTGCATTTCATGGCCATCTGTACTGTGCTCTCGTAGTCATCAAGAAATTGATAATGTCCTACGATGCAGTCTTTTCCTCGCGTACGGGTATGATAGCAGTCACCTTGGATCACGTCTCACCATCTCAGAGATACTGGCAGTTTCACCTCAACAACGATGCAGTTATTGAAAGAACCTACCTGCACACCTTTTCAGTAGAGCGCCAAAT